CAGCAGACGTGAAAATGGTAACGTTTTTCTGGACGCAAGCGTAGCTCCTTGGGGATTTTATGGAGCGGGAATCCTAACCCGGGCACAGCTGCACCAGGAACGGGCAAAGCAGAGCTGAAAGCCTTGAGGATCCAGCCCTCCAGCTGGTCTTGCTCTGCCTTTGGGGAACGAGGAGGGATCTCGGCATCGTTTGGTGCCCTCTGCCGCCGAGCAGAGCTACGACAGAGCGGCCACCTTCTGCCACCCCCTGCCACCTTCTGCCAACCAGGCCCCTGCCCAGCACGTCCCAGCACCCAGCCAGGGCTGAAACCCGGCTGTCCTGCCAGGTACAGCGGACCTGCCCCTAAGGATCAGGGCCAAGAGGCAAGACCTGGAGGGAGAGGACCCTCCAGCGTGCCCTGGTTGCCAAGAAGGCCAATGGGATCCTGGGGTGCATCACGAGGAGTGTGGGCAGCAGGGCAAGGAGAGGCTGAGGGAGCTGGGCTTGTTCAGCCTGGAGAAGAGAAGGCTGCGAGGGGACCTTCAAAATGCCTCTAAATATCTGCAGGGTGGGGGTCAGGAGGACAGGGCCAGACTCTTTCCAGTGGTGCCCAGCGCCAGGACAAGGGGCAATGGGCACAAACTGAAGCAGAGGAAGCTCCAGCTGAACACGAGGAAGAGCTTCTTGATGGAAAAACTTCTTGATGGTTGGACTTGATGATCTTAGAGGTCTTTTCCAACCTATGATTCCATGATTCTTCACTTTGAGGGTGACGGAGCCCTGGCCCAGGCTGCCCAGGGAGGCTGTGGAGTCTCCTTCTCTGGAAATATTCCAGCCCCGCCTGGACACGGTGCTGTGCAGCTGCTCTGGGTGACCCTGCTTGGGCAGGGGGTTGGGCTGGGTGACCCCAGAGGTCCCTTCCAACCCCGACCATTCTGTGATTCTGTGACCCCTGATCTCTGGAGCCGCTGCCTCTTCCAGCTCAGGAAGGGCCCAGCCCGTACGTTTCTGCAGCCAGACTGCCAGCCAAACCCTTCCCTAGGGATCGGCCGTGAAGACTGAAGGGGACGGCGCTGCCCCGTCCGGGCTGAGCGCTGGGCAGTGCCCAGGGCAGGCGGGTGAACCGTCCCTCCGGATGTCAGATGCGCTGCAGGGTTTCTCACCTGAGCAAGGGTCTCCGTAGCCCTATCAGAAAGTCATTTCGCACCCGGAAAGGGATGATTTTTCCATCCTGCCCCGTTTCCTTTCTTCCTGACTTTAATGGCGCTGAGATTTTTCTCACGCCGAATTCCGCACCTTCGTTCTGTGTATAACGACGCATCCGAAACCCAGCGCCTGCCTGAATGCGCACAGCTTTGCCTTGGGCTCCTGGCGGTGGGATCCGCTGACAGAAGAATGAGCTCATCCCAAAACCTCCCAGAATTTGACAAATTATTTCTTCCCATTGAAAAAAAACCGAAATCCCGATCCTCGGCGGTTACAGCTTTGCCAGCAGAGCTCTGCTTCAGCACCAGCTGCGCGCAGCAGGGCGTCCGCAGGTAGGAAATCGGAAAATTGCTTGGAGCCTTCGCTGGATGATGGGATTTTGGGGTGCAGTTTGGGTGGTCGGAAGAGGCCCGGCTATCAGCCCGGAAACACGGCACACGCCTTTCGCTGCGGACAGGGCAGGCGCTCGGCTGCTGCAGCGTCTCCAGTCCGCTGGCTGCGCTGGGGCTGCCGGCAAACCCATCGCTGCCGGGGCAACCGAGTTACAGAATAAACCAAATTATATTTCCCTAGCATTCCACAACAAGTTACACTTCACTAAAACACCGGCCCTGGTGGCTTTTCCAGTTTGTTTTGTCGAGAGGAGAGCATTCACCCCAACACCGGGGAAGAGGGCGGGCAGGAGAGCAGGGGTTAGTCCCTGCCTTCTGTGCCCACAGGGGCTTACGTTCTGTCTGGATGGGCTGATGGTTTGGCAAAACAAAGAAATTAATTGATAAACAGCTTTTGAAAGAAATTGTCATGTTCATTTCCTCTAATGTTCTGGCAAAAAAAACCCAAAACCCAACCTGGCAGCCCTAAAAGCAACGGAGACCAGGTTGGGGTGAGGTGTGATAGCACATCCAGACCTCAGCCCCCGAAGCCCGTCACGAACTCGCTCCGAAGGAAGCATTTCGCACCTGCAGCGTTCCTGCCCTCCGGCTTTCCCTTTCTCACGCTTCTCTGCTCGTTAGCAAACCAACGCAGGGTGAGCGTCGGCGCAGAGGGACCCCTCAGGGGCAGCCCACCCCTGCGTCACCCCACCCTGAGCGGATGGATTCTGCTGACCGCATGTCCCAGCCGATGCCTTTCCCACAACAGAGGGAAGGCCACCCTGGTGTCACTGGGACCGCCGTCCCTACCCGAGGAGAGGGGCCACTGACTGCATCACCCTCACCTGCACCCACCGGTGACCTCCCATTCCCCACGTGGACCATGGACCATTCCTACCTTCCAGTGGGACCTTCCTCTCCATCACAGCCTTGCACTCTCCAACACGGGAGCCACGCTGATGCATGCCCGTGGTTACTGGCTTTGCCGAGCTCCGGCCACCACCTCCTGCAGCCCACACCGGCTCCTGTGGACCTCCTGCAGTGTTACCTGCCCCAGCATGGAGAATATACCAAGCCAGCAGCTCCTGAGCAGCCTCCCTGGAGGTCTCAGCCCTCGTAGGGAGCATGGGTGGGAAGGTGGGAGCTTAGACAGCTCTCCAAACTGCCCCCCAAAAGCACTGCCATTGAGGAGCCAGGCTCTGCAGGGTATGGCACCAGCTACTGAGGTGCAAGGGAGCTTACAACAAGGCAACCAAGCAAGAGCCAGGCAAACCAACAAGCCCCAGCCCTGGCTCTCCCTTATATACCAACGGGATTCACAGCAGCTGTTCCCAATACCGGCAGCAGCCGGGGCAAATCACCGTGAGCCCTTGTGCCAGCCGTCCCCAGGGGACAGTGAAACCCCTCATGTGAGGAACATGAGAGGAAGAGCTTCTTCCCTGCGTGCAGACACCCGGTGTGTCCAGGGAAAGAAACGCCATCCGACAGCCCCACGGAGCCATCCCGGGTGTGCCGAGGCTCCAGGCGGGGTTTTCAGGCTGTGGCCTCCTGCCAGGTCCAGGCTTTCCATTTCGGGGGTCAGCCACGACCTTCTCCTTTGCAGACCCCCACCCTCAAACTAGACACATCACATCTCCCTTTTTGCTCAGGGAGAATTAGGTGTTTTGTCCCTTTTCTCCCCAACATCACCCATCAGATCCTGCCAGCTTCTTATTAATTTAATCCCCCGGTGGGATTTGGCATCTAACCTCAATTCTTTTATTATTTGGAGCTGGGCTGAAGCTGGTAGCGAGGGAGGGGAGCCAGCTCCTCTGGGCAGGCTGGTCCCTGGCTCGCCGGCTCTGTTTTCCCCCCGAGCGCATGACAAGGTGACCGTGCCAGTGGCCACATCTGACGCACGTGGTGCTGTGACGGAGCCTGGGATGCCTGGGCCAGCGCCAGGCGCCTCTGACGCAGCCCAGCGCCGGCGACCTTGGTATCGTGCAACCAGCGGCATCCTGAGCTGGGCTTTCCCCTTGCTGGTCCCAGTTTCTCCCTCCAGCTGGTCCCAGTTCCGCAAGCAGCTCTGGGATGGGTGGAGGCTGGTGAAGCCCTAGCATGAGAAAGACACGGACCTGCTCGAGGTGGGTTAGAAGAGGGCCGTGAAGATGATGAGGGGGCTGAAGCAGCTCCCCATGAGGACAGGCTGTGAGAGCTGGGGTTGTTGAGCCGGGAGCAGGGAAGGCTGCGGGGAGACCTTGGAGCAGGCTCCCGGCACGTGAAGGGGGCTGCAGGAGAGCTGGGAGGGACCCTGCAGCACGGCTTGTAGTGCTAGAACGAGGGGTGATGGTCTGAAACAGAATCACACCGAATCACAGAATGTTGGGGTTGGAAGGGACCTCTGGGGTCACCCAGTCCCACCCCCTGCCCAAGCAGGGTCACCCAGAGCAGGCTGCACAGCACCTTGTCCAGGCGGGGCTTGAAGATCTCCAGAGAAGGAGACTCCACAGCCTCCCTGGGCAG